GTCACAGACATAGCTCTACGTTCGGCCGCCAGTAGAATCGCGCCACGCATTTTCATTATTTACCGTGCGCCCCGACAACCTGACCCGGAACAGACCAAAGATTGCTCAGTATTGCTAGGTATTGGTCAATTTTGCTCGGGAATAACCAATACCGAGAAAATACCTAGCAAATACCGAGTTGTACCGAGTTGTAGAAAAACTCGATACAACTCAGTATTTGCATGGTATTGGTTTTCACATAGCGATATTTCTCATTTTTGCAAAGCAATACCTAGCAATACCGAGAAAATCACGAACATAGCATTCCCGGGTTCCGGTTCCGGTCAAGTCGTCGGGCCGCGCGGTAAAGAGTAAGAGCACGTGGCGACATGTTATTGGCGGCCGAACGTAGCTCTACGTCCGGTCAGAGGACGTAATAATTGTTCGTGTGTGTGTGATTTTTTTTATTTTAAAGGGGGTGAATTTTAAATGCATGTTTGAGGCTAACCCAATCTTCGATCTCGATCTCTCGTGATCTTGATCAAGTTCCTATGCATCATCATCCCCTTCCGTGTCTATACGCTCACAACCCTATCCTTGCTCGAGCAAGTCATGGTTCAAGTACCTGTTGGCGACTTCTCTACTCATGATCTCGACTCCTCTTTTAAGCGCCACCGTCCTCCGACATGGCCACAACTCCTCTTTGAATATTTTGGCATAACCTCTAAACCCCAATATTAAGGGTTTACTTGAGTCAAGCTGGCTTAAGCTCAACTTAAGAAATAGCTCCTAATTGAGCTTGAGCTCGATGAATTATAGCCAACTTTGAGTTAGTTTTAGCTTAACTTGTAAACTTGTGAGCTAGGTCATTTAAAAAACATTAATATAAATTACACCTAAAATAAAATAAAATTCAAAAAATATATAAAATTATTAAAATTTTCAAAATTACATCTCACTTTTTCCTAGCAAGTGATTGTTTATCATTTATAATTTAATTTCAAACATTTTATCATTTCAATATAGTCATTTGACTATCACTATCTTATTATGATCATCCAACCATCATCTTTCGACTAGAGTTCTCTGATCACAATAGAACAATTATGCTCATCTCACTATTGTCATCCCACTACGTCATTAACTTATCATTGCCTAATTATGACACTTCACTCACCATCGCTCATAATTATGATATTTTGACCGTCATCACCTAATTATTTTCCTCTAATTATCATTTCTTAAATACGATCATCTGGCCATCATAGCTCAATCATGATCATCTGATCATCATTGTCCAACTATACTAATCTAACAACAATAACCAAACCTCAATCCTCCTATCACCATATTTTGGCTATGACCCTTGAACTAGCATTGCTCGAATATGATCCTCAGGCCATCTCATTTAACTATTATTAAAAGACCGCCATCACTCGATTATAATCTTCCAACAATATTGTCTAACTATAGTCCTCCAACAATCCTCCAAATACCGTTGCTCAACAAAGTTGACACATGCTGATTTCATTGCATGTCATTGATAATAATATTGAAGCATGTCATTGCTTATAAGGTTTTCCCGACATTAAGGCCGAGAGTTCTGCTAGATTTTTTAATTTTTGATCTTTCCTCAATGGAGGACCAAATAAATAACTTAAATCTTTTAAAGATAGCTCGCATGCCACAATGATGGCTTCCTCAAAACAAACTATATTCAACTCAAAATCAAATTGTCATAATATCTCTTTGGATTAAAAATAACCATTTAGAATTTTTTTTATCTCCATAAATTGCTTTATTTATTTATTTTGAAAAAAAAAAAGGAAAAATGCAATTGAAGAAATTAACTTTAAAATTCTTTTTTAAAAAATTAAACCAATCCAAACAAAATCTAGAACTGAAACATCAATATAATGTTTCTCATAAACCTCGCATGATCTTGATAAAAGGGCAGCAGCTAAGTTATTTAATTTCATTAGCTACAAATTTGATGATCAACAAAAAGGTCAAAAAAAATAAAAAACAAAGCTTGAATGTCTCAAGGAGCTGAGACCAATAGCTATCTCATTTAACAGTGGCCTCAAATTATAAACCTTAATACTGCTTCCAGTTCCTTGTCATCTATACAACTGTAACCCAGCGAATAGGCTCGCGCTGATTTAAGAGAGAAATGAAACAAATAATCAGTCAAGTATCTTAAATTATAATGTAAGAAGTGTGGATTACTTCTAAATGTGTAAGTAATGATGGTTCAAAAGAAGAAAGCAGACTGAGGAAATACCATAGCGACCAGATCCCATAAAAGGCTCCATATCATCAATCAAAGCAGCTTGCTGTTGCTCCTGACCATTGAGAAATTTTTACATTAGCCATCTATAAAGAGAAATTATTACGTGCGGAGTCCGGTGTAGCTCGTGTCTGGACTCAAACGAGATTGCGCCATGTAGCTTGTGCGCAGTAGTGTGTACAACTTATACGCACTACTGTGTACAAGCGATGTGGTGCAATCTCATTAGAGTCTGAACGTATTCGAACTCCGCACGTAATAATTTCTCCTATAAAGAACATAAAATATTGATTGTTAATTATGTCAACAATAAATCTACAAAATATTTGTGAAGTTTAAATCAGATGATAAGATAATGATTTGTCTGTATCTTAAAAAGTTTCCTACATAAACTTTTAAGCAATTAATTGCTAGAAAATTAGGACGGCATAAAATCATACAATGTCTTGGAATAATTTTGATATTAGTTCAAATTTAAATTTATCATATTTGGATTGTCAACTAAATCATGGACTCTTCACTCTTTCCACCTCTTTTTGAGATTCATATCACATGCATCATTTGCATAATTTCTAAACAACGTAAATATTATGCTAGAAGCTATAATGAACAATAAAATCATATCCACAACTATTGGTGGAGATCAAAGACTGTTCACTAGTATAGTAGACCTGCATGTAATGACTCGTGAATTAATCTACGAGAGCACAACAGTTATAACTTGAGAATATTAATTTTTCCAAGACAAGCAAAATTGATGTAATTTTGAAAGTCTATAGTTGTAAAAAATTCAAGAAGTTTGTGTTGAAATGAGTGAATTTGAAAGAAATTCTTTTGGGGTGTATGTTTTCAAGACTTTGCTTGCTTTCTTTACAAGAAGATGTGGCTATGGCGTTCTCTCTACACTATGAGAACTCGTTGCATTATATGATTTCCCTCTTGGAATCATTGATCTACGCTTGATGGTGCTTTGAAGGTTTGCAGTTATTAGATCTTGGAAGCTTAAGGTTGTGATTGTTGACTGGATGTAATCAGTTGCCTTAGTGGTTAAGGCTGCTTAAAAGCTTGTGGCTAAATTCATTGGAAGGGAGGTTTTTTACAGATGTAGAGTTCAAGGCGTTGGTCACTTCTGCTATGAATTGGTTGTAGGTGCTGGATGCTTTTGCAGATGAACGACTCAAGGAGATGGCTTTCAATTCCTAGAACTAAACGGTCCAACAGTTTTTGGTAGGATTGGGTGGTTTGCGATGGCTTATCTTGATAGAATTTACCATTTCTGCTAGTTATCTTGATTTTATCTTGTGTTTTTTATTCACACTCTGCGCCTAACTTTTATATTCTAATTTTTTTTAGTAAAAAAGGGACTTTGTGATTATATAAAGGGTCATCAGGCATGCAGAGAAATCAAGCAAGTATTTCTGAATAAAATTCCTAATTTGATGTGCAATTCCTTCTAGTTCTCCTTGATTTAAGTAAAAAACTACAGATTTTTTAGAGGTTATCTCAGGTTTTCTCTTTATACAAGCGGGAGACTTTAGTGATATTGTTTCATGTTATTTAATTTGGCTTGCGTGCATGTCTGAAATTTCATTATACTTGATACAACCTAGCTTTCACTGGTAACATAATTTTAAATTGATTGAATGCTTTTATATTTTCAAATTTCTAAGCATTATTTCTAGAACAGCTAAGAAATATTTATGCACAAGCATTATGTCTATAAAAGCTATTAAATTATTATTTGCATTGGTCTCTTTGCATATTCAATTTTCAAATATCAAATGAAGAATTATCTAAATTAAGAGTTTGTAATTTGGGAAAATTTGAGTGTTTTTATAGAATTTTATGCATTTTATTGTAGGTATTTGTTAGCAAACACTGGACCTATGAGATCCAAAGTCAGGAAGAAGGAGAAAAAGGTGATGAGTGCCAAGAGTAAGATCTTAATATCACAAACTAATACCAAAAGATGGAAGATTGCATCCACACCTAAATCACTAGAAGAGCCATAACAACCAAGAAATCATAAGATGAAGCATGAAGACTGAAGCATTAGAAAATTTGAATGGGTTTGTATTGCAATGCATGAATGTTTTTATTTATCTTTACTCACTCCTGCAGCAAAGGTTGTGTACTTTCGTTTGAAAAAAAGGCCGACAGCAAAAGAAAAAGAACCAATTTAAACTCACATTATCAGCTTCCTCTTCAGGAGAGAGCCATCTGTCAAAGCACTGACCGGAAATAGTACACACCATCAGCCCACTATATTGATCCCAAACAGCTTCACGGCAAGTATCATCACATACTGCACAAGCAAAGCACAATTTATGAAAAAGGTTTGGAGCAAGCAAACAAATGGGTAGAAGTTGTTACCATGCACACGACCAGTCTTCTCACAGAGAAAGACATCCCCAATTTGAGAATATGCGCAGGTCTTTCCTGAGCAAATATGCCCTGTAACGGATTCATCAGTGAAGCCTCTGCTACTTCTCCAAATGGCGACTTGATCAGCAACTGTTGTGTCAAGGATTATGTGATCATCATTGACCTTCACATTAAAAAAACATATTTATTTAGTTTTTTATGAGGTTAGGTGCATTGGATTTCCAAGTTATTGTTGTTTTGATCCATTTCTCAAGAATTGCAGCTAAGACTTCTTACTTGTGAAGGAAGTGGTGCTTGACTTCTCTTTGCAGCCTGCATTTGGATATAATACTCCTTGAACTCAGATGGTGTGTTCCTAACAAACTCAGACATGTCCTCACGATCACGCTGCAAGGAAAGAACAGTTACAAAGACTCAATTTCAGACATTTTTTTTTTATAAACCATGAAGAACCTGAAACAGTGATATTGCTCCAAATGTATTTAATCTATACCAAAATTTTTCTTTGTATGCTTATCAAGCACCAGGACCTTTGAAACCAATAATTAAAACCATGAAATAAAAACAACAACAAGGTACCGAGTTCTTGCAAATAATGCAATAAATTATACAAAATAGTATGTGTAATGCTATGCAACAATTAAAAGTTTACATAAGATGGGACATCATTGCATTTTCTTTCATTATAGAATTTAAATACATGCATATAGAACATAATGGAAGCATACATTCACAATCATTTGAATAATTCAAGCAATAGGAGCAAACAAGAAATTCCAAATAATGAGGAAAGCATCCATTCTATATAAATACCCCTGAAAACATTTCGTATAAATAATGCATTACATCTTCTCCCTATTTCCTTTCCTGTATGTCGGCTTCTTTCCATATCTGACCCTCATAAAACAAAAAGGCTTGTTGATTATCATGGATAAGATATTCAATTTGACAAAAAATTAAATTCAAGAAATCATAATTTGGTGGAGGTTACAGAAAACAAAGCGCTTTATTCTTGCAGTAGTAATCATCACTCAGTAATCTGCCTGTGTCAAAGTTAGGCTCATTTCAACTTCTATGAAGCCCAGTCACCAAGCTTTCAAATTTCTCCTAGGCTTTTGCAACTTCTAACCTAAGCAAGAAGATTGGCAGCAAGGAAGATTTTGTAATTATTTTATGATTGCAGTTCATAAAATAGAACAGGTGTATTATTTATGAAAGCACAAGAAAGTATACATAAATGCCAAAAAAGAGCCGGACTTTTTGTTCTCAGAGTTTCATTAAAGATTACATCGGACAATCATCCTATAACTCATGGATAACATTTTAAAAAAAAAAATTCATATCCTCTCCTAATTAGAAAGAAATACTTCGACTTGATCACTTGGGAGGGGTAATTAACTATAGGGGCTTGCGCCTATAGGAAACTAGAACTCAGATCAAAAAGTCCTCACTAAACGAGGGCGAAATCTCTGGGTAGTGTCTTATCTAAAACCCAATCTGCCTTCTGAAAATTCCCCCGGAACCTAATCTCGTTAAAACTCTCTATCGTCATCATCACACAAACACTTAAAAATAAAAAGACCTATGACATGGAGAGGCCGGGATCACACATAACAAAATGGAATTTTCGAAGCCCACATAGGACTCACTATTGTGGGCGGCAAACATAGAGGGAGGCGGGACAAGCCCGCCTCCTATACATCAGAACCGACTCTGGACAGGCCGGTTGGGCCGGTTCAGGAGGAACCGGCCTATCATTTATGATGGGGACATCCATAGGAGATTTCGACACACCTACCATATATCGGAGGGGTTGTCGAGCGACGACCATGATTCATAGTCTTTATTTTTTATGTTTTATTTTATTCATGTCATTTATATTTTATGTTTTTCATTTGTACCCCTATGAGGAAGTTATTGCATATTGTAGCTCAAGGGCAATGTCATCTTTATGGTTTTTATTTTCGGATGGCCTATATATAGGCTTAGTCATTGTATTTGAAGTAGTTTTTGATGAATGAAATTTTATCTCTTGATCTCTTTGTGAGTTCGTGATATTTTAAGATCTCTTTATGAGTTCTTAACGAGGTGATGCTTGTGGATCTCTTTGTCAGTTCTATGGGAGGAGATGCATGAGGTTTGAAGCTTCTTCAAAATATTCCAAGCTTTTCCCACGATTTTCTGGCCTTAGCTTTCCTCTCCCCCAAAATCCCCTTGCCGCCGGCCACCTTGGGCTGCCCAAGCCGCCGGCCACCACCACCCAAAATTCTTCCCAAGCCGCCGGCCTCCTTACCCCAATTTCCCTTCCCCACCTCTCCACCCGCCGGCCCCCTCTTGGGCATTTGAATTTGAAATTCAAAATTCTCATGAGACTTTGATTACTTCCCTAAAATAAATCCTAGAATTTAGGCAATTGTCATAATTGAATTTCAAAGCCAATTTGAAATTCAAAACGTTGCCTATTGTTTACATTCAAGAAAGGAAACTTTCCTTTTTATTAAAATCTGAATTACTGCATATTTTAATCAAAATATGTCATTTAAACATGTGGGCCCCACTTAATTAAATCCTATTTCCCTCCCTCTTCTCTATTTTGGCCGGCCCTTCATGGGCTCCTTCTCTCTCCCCTAATTAATTCCAATTCCCCACAAAATCAGCCCCAAAATCCATCTCCTCATTGCCCCCCCCCCCCCCTCCCCTCCTTAATGGGATTTAATTTGAAATTCACAATTAATCCCTTCCCTCTCACCCAAAACCTGAAATAATTTCAGGATTCCTGAAATTTTCTTTTGATCTCTCAACCTAGCCGCCCCCTTCAAACCCTCATGCCGGTCCAATCCCTTCTCCTCTCTTGCCACCACCACATATCCTCTTTCTCCCCCTTGGTGCTCATTCTTTTCCGGCAAGGATGCATGGCGGATCTCGAGATTGATAGCGGATTGGTATTCGACATCTACGGAGACATCCACATCACCCGTTCACCATTCTTCGACGTTGGGTTTGGATTCGACGACACTATTGAAGATTATTTGAACTGCATCCTTCCCACTCTCGTAGACGTCATAGACGAGCAATTCCAAGGCTACGATTGGACCATCAATGGACATCCACCCGCTTCCCCACCTCCACCGCCGCCGCCTCCCTAGCCATCACTACGGATCGTCGGCGCCGTCTACCTTAGAGTGATTTCATTTCTTGTATGGTTCTTCTTCCTCCGACAACCCTAGACGTAGAAGAGTGACTTTGAGCCTCAAGGTGAGACGATCGCTTTGTTAACCGTCGGATTCTAGTTGACTAATCATTTCATTACTTTTGTTTAAGTTGTTATTTTAAAGAACTTGCAAATTTAGTTGTGATGGATTGCCTAAGCAGTGTTTACTTCTAAGATCTTTCTTGAGTTTTCAATTTTGAGAAGCTTTAAAATTATTTTTATCATTGCTCCAACAAACTTTATTAATCTCTAAGAAAACAATTCCTGGTTTCACATCAATTTCCCTCTTGGAATCATTGATCTATGCTTGATGGTGCTTTGAAGGCTTGCAGTTATTAGATCTTGGAAGCTTAGGGTTGGGATTGTTGACTGGATGTAATCAGTTGCCTTAGTGGTTAAGGCTGATTAACCGGACTGAGGTTTTTTACAGATGTAGAGTTCAAGGCAGTGGCCACTTCTGCTATGAATTGGTTGTAGGTGCTGGATGGTTTTGCAGATGAACGACTCAAGGAGATGGCTTTCAATTCCTAGAACTAAACGGTTCAACACTTTTTCGTGGGATTTGGTGTGATGGAAGCTGTGGTTTCCGATGGCTTATCTTGATAGAAGTTACCATTTCTGCTAGTTATCTTGATTTTATCTTGTGTTTTTTATTCACACAAAGTGCCCAACTTTTATATTCTAAATTTTTATCAGTAAAAAATGGACTTTGTGATTATATAAAGGGTCATGAGGCATGCGGAGAAATCAACCAAGTATTTCTGAATAAAATTTCTGATTTGATGTGCAATTCCTTCTAGTTCTCCTTGATTTAAGTAAAAAATTACAGATTTTTTGAGAGGTTATCTCAGGTTATCTCTTTATACAAGCGGGAGACTTAATTTAGTGATATTTTTTCCTGTTATTTAATTCATGCTCTTTATACTGATTTGGCTGGCGTGCATGTCTGACATTTCATCATACTTGATACAACCTAGCTTTCACTGGTAACATAATTTTAAATTGATTGAATGCTTTTATATTTTCAAATTTCTAAGCATTATTTCTAGAACAGCTATGAAATATTTATGCACAAGCATTATGTCTATAAAAGCTATTAAATTATTATTTGCATTGCTCTTTGCAGTTTGCATATTCAATTTTCAAATATCAAATGAAGAATTATCTAAATTAAGAGTTTGTAATTTGGGAAAATTTGAGTGTTTTTATAGAATTTTATGTATTTTATTGTAGGTATTTGTCAGCAAACACTGGACCTAAGAGATCCTACGTAAGAAAGAAGGAGAAAAAGTTGATGAGTGCCGAGAGTAAGATCTTAATATCACAAACTAACACCAAAGATGGAAGATTGCATCCACACCTAAATCACTAGAAGAGCAATAACAACCAAGAAATCATAAGATGAAGCATGAAGACTGAAGCAATAGAAAATTTGAATGGGTTTGTATTGCAATGCATGAATGTTTTTATAAATTTTTACCCACTCATGCAGCAAAGGTTGTGTACTTTCGTTTGAAAAAAATGCCTGACAGTGCCAGGTAGGTAACAAAATCAATAAAAAATGCAAAAGAAAAAGAACCAATTTAGGCTTCGTTTGAGACGGCTTTTTTTCTGTTTTTTAAAGCAGTTTTCTAGTACAAAATTTATAATTTTTACTAAAAAGCTGCTTTAAAAAGCATAAAAAAGCTGTTCCAAGCGAAGCCTTAAACTCACATTATCAGCTTCCTCTTCGGGAGAGAGCCATCTGTCAAAGCACTGACCGGAAATAGTACACACCATCAGCCCACTATATAGATCCCAAACAGCTTCACGGCAAGTATCATCACATACTGCACAAGCAAGCACAATTTGTGTAAAAGGTTTGGTGTAAGCAAACAAATGGGTAGAAGTACTTACCATGCACACGACCAGTTTTCTCGCAGAGAAAGACATCCCCAATTTGAGAATATGCACAGGTCTTTCCTGAGCAAATATGCCCTGTAACAGATTCATCAGTAAAGCCTCTGCTACTTCTCCAAATGGCGACTTGATCAGCAACTGTTGTGTCAAGGATTATGTGATCATCATTGACCTTCACATTAAAAAAAGTTTATGAGGTCTGGTGCATTGGATTTCCAAGTTATTGTTGTGTTGATCCATTTCTCAAGAATTGCAGCTAAGACTTCTTACTTGTGAAGGAAGTGGTGCTTGACTTCTCTTTGCAGCCTGCATTTGGATATAATACTCTTTGAACTCAGATGGTGTGTTCCTAACAAACTCAGACATGTCCTCACGATCACGCTGCGAGGAAAGAACAGTTACAAAACTTCAATTTCAGAAAAAAAAAATATTTTTTTTTATAAACCATGAAGAACCTGAAACAGTGATATTGCTCCAAATGTATTTAATCTATACCAACATTTTTCTTTGTATGCTTGTCAAGCACCAGAACTTTGAAACCAATAATGAAAACCATGAAATAAAAACAACAACAACAAGGTATCGAGTTCTTGCAAATAATGCAATAAATTATACAAAAAAGTTTATGTAATGCTATGCAACAATTAACAGTTTACATATGATGGGACATCATTGCATTTTCTTTCATTAAAGAATTTAAATACATGCATATAGAACTGGCATTCCTGAGATAATGGAAAGCATACATTCACAATCATTGGAATAATTCAAGCAATAGGAGCAAACATGCAATTCCAAATAATGAGGAAAGCATCCATTCTATATAAATACCCCTGAAAACATTTCGTATAAGCGATGTAGTACATCTTCTCCCTATTTCCTTTCGTGTATGTCGGCTTCTTTCCATATCTGACCCTCATAAAACAAAAAGTCTTGTTGATTATCATGGATAAGATATTCAATTTGACAAAAAATTCAGTTCAAGAAATCATAATTTGGTGGAGGTTACAGAAAACAAAGCGCTTTATTCTTGCAGTAGTAATCATCACTCAGTAATCTGACTGTGTCAAAGTTAGGCTCATTTCAACTTCTATGAAGCCCAGTCACCAAGCTTTCAATTTCTCCTAGGCTTTCGCAACTTCTAACCTAAGCAAAAAGATTGGCAGCAAGGAAGCTTTTGTAATTATTTTATGATTGTAGCTCATAAAATAGAAAATATGTATTATTTATGAAAGCACAAGAAAGTATACATAAATGTAAAAAAAGAGCCGGAATTCTTTGTTCTCAGAGTTTCATTAAAGATTACATAGGACAATCATCCTATAAATCATGGATAACATTTAAAAAAAAAATTGTTCATATCCTCTCCTAATTAGAAAGAAATAGTTCGACTTGATCACTTCTAATAAGCTAATTAATGGTATAATTAACAAACAGGTGAGTATGCATTAGTGGCATAATTATCTAGCAATCTCTTTCCTAAGTTATTGGTCATAGTGATGGTCCCAATAAAATTAAATTTCAAAAGATAATTAAATAGTGTTGTATTTATTAAGAATGATAGAAAATAGACTTTGTGGTTGGATATGAAGAAAAAAGATATAAATGCACAAATAAGGCAAGTAGATTGAATTAATGTCGAAGGATTAGGAAGGAGGGGTTGGAAAAAGATAAAATGGGTAGAAATTATGCAAATTGATTTGCATAAAGTTTGATTGCTCATGCAACACTAAAAAAATTGGATGGAAAAGAAGGGTTCATAAAGCCTATATTATACTTGGAATAAGGCTAATGATAATAAAAATGAGAGGTCAAAGATCAATAACATTGTGAAAATAGAAATATTAATTAATAATTCAAAATCATAAGATATTAATTGAATAAAATTGTATTTTATTTATCACAAATGGTTGAAAATAGCTTTAGGTGGTAGAATATGTAAAAAAAGGATAGAAAACACAGAAGTAAGACCAATAAATATTATTCATTGGGAAAGAGAAAGGGCATACAAAAGGTAAAATATATAGAAATTGAGAAGAATGGCTTACATAAAATTTAATTGCTCGCACAAGAGAGGATAAGGATTCATAAAGCCAACATTGTAATTTGAATAAGGCTGATGATGATGACAAAGAGTTGTCAGGGAACAATAAAATAGTGAACTGAGAATAATAAAGATGATGAAACTAGATTTGAAAGGTAATTAACCAAAAAAGAGAATAGTTAAACAATTCTTATTGCCTGAATAAGTGAAGAATTGAGAGAGAGAGAGAGAGAGAGAGAGAGAGAGAGGGAACAAAAGCCGGGGGTGCGGAGGATTGCATAATAGAAGGGGAAAACAAAAAAGAACAAGGAACAGTCCGGTATGCAAATATACAAACAGCTACTGGGATTCTTCTAGGGGCAAGCATAGTAGGGACATATTTGAAGGAAGTTCTAGACTTAACTAGAGATACACCAAAGTCAGACAAAAATCCATCAATTCTTCCCATCGGTATTGAGGGTGCCTATTTATAGAACCTAGTGAGAAGTGCAACCTTCAATCTTCAGTAATCATCAATCACCTAATGGATCCATTTGGAACTGTTAGTCATGTAATGGACACTGTATCCCCATCTCATTTGACTCCATTAGAATTGTCAACCAAGTCAAGGAAGCCATGGGCAAACAAACTACACTTTTAACTAACAAAGACTACCCACTAATCTTTATGTCAAGGGATTCAAATCCATAAATTATTTACTACAGAGCACGGGCAAACAACAATCAATGCTTTCATGGATTAAGCGGATATTAGAATTGATACGTCATCATGAAATTATCTTGATTGGGCATGAATCTCGAGGCAAAAACCAACCCGGAAACTTCAAAAATTAAATCTGGGAGCTCCCGAACTCCGATTTCAGTGAGCTTATAGTCAAACTGAGCGTCTCGGAAATACGAACCCAATGACACCAAATTCAACCCAATCCGAGCCCAAATGGGTCCAAATCAAGGACCCGATGCGCTGTTGGAAGGTTCAAACCACAATTTGAGTTACCAAACGGTCTCCGATTTTAGCGAGCTTATAGTCGAACCGAGCGGCTCAACGAGACGAATCCAACGAGCCCAAGATCGCCGAATTCCGACATCACTACGACCTTCAAATGTCTAACGAACGGTGCACGATCGAGGGATTCAATATCGGCCGTCCATTCGACCACTCCCTATTCGCCCCTGATCTCACACCTATTTACAAGTCATGCCACTCCAGAAAAATTATAAATAGAGCCCTCATTCTTCACAAGGGAACTCAAGTGAGAAGAGAGAGAGGAAGAGAAGAGAAGGAGGAGGAGAATCTGCTCATCCTCGACCACCGCCGGAGTTCTTTCCGCCGCCTGAATACGCCGCAATTCTGCCGGATTTTCGGGAGACGCCGGAATTCTGCAAAACTTTGTAACTTTGTTTCAATTTAGAAGAAACTGATTGTAATCTGATCTTCCTGACTTGTGGGACGAATCAACCTCTGTACTTCAAACAAACACTAGTGGAATTACTTCAACTGGGCGTGGCCCCGTGATTTTTTCCCTCTTTCGGGTTTTCCACGTAAAAATCATGGTGTTCATTTTCCTTTTATCTTTTGTTTGTGTTTGTTGAATATTCGTACAACGCTTGGACGCTAAAATACGAACTCTACCGCCGCGTATATTCTAGCCCGCAACAAGAATAATGGTTGGCCAATAGATTTTGGTCGTTAATGTTCGTAATCATCATAAAAATAACAATCTTGAGGAGGGAAGCCATATATGAATGAAGATAACCAAGATACAACCATATAGCTCAAGGTGGAGCGTAAAAAACCTGAATGTAAAGGTTCTTCCATGCAGATGCACGCAGTTTGCTAGAAGCCGAAGCCAAACCCCATCGCATGCAGTACCTGCAAGCCATCCAGTATATTATATCACAAGACATAAAAGTGTGCAGTAACTAATAATACTCAACCAAAAAAAGAAAAAATTAGAGAATAGGAAAAAGGGGATTTTTGCTTACAGACGACGCCATAGGCTCTCATCAGAGGCCGCATAGCTCAAGAACTTGCACACAATGGAGCATGAAATAAGATCCTGCCATTCAAATCCCAATCAGGGGTTAACCATGGAATTAGGAATCCTGACACTTCTTAAATATTTCCCATCAAAACGCCAACTTTGCCTTACCTCGGATGAGAGAAACTTCAATATGTTATGGATGACCTCGGGCGGAATATTACTGAAGACTCCGCTCTCGATCCGTGTAGTAGACGGAAGATGAGGAGGACCCTGATTACGGCGAACTGGGTGAGATCTATCCATGTCAATTCGGGGCCTTTTTGATGGTCTCGTGGCTTCTCCCGTCTCTTCCTCACAACCAACCTATTCAAAGAATCTATGAGCACATCTAGTAGAAAAAAACCTTAAGAAATCCTTACTCCCTGGAAAGTTAACATCTTGATTACGGGCAGAAGAAATAACCTTGTCTGGCGGACCAGAAAGCATGCTGGATTCGACAAAATCAACCAAGTGGTGATCTTCCTCGTCGGAATCGGCCATGTCGAAGCAAGTAGAAACGAGTGCCGACGAGGCAGAGCTGGAATATCGAGGGTGAGTCTTGGTCTTTGGTAAAGCATAAAAAAATTTTAACAATACAATCTATTTTAGAATATTGCATGTAGGAATTGTAGGTTGAGCCTTTCTTCTTGAAAAAGTAAAACAATTTAACACTACAAATATGGTCAAATGCCCTAAACCCTGTCAATTTTTGACGTGACCCGAAACACGACTCAAACCTGACCCGGAAAAATCCGGGTTCGAGTCAACCCGAACCCAAAACGGGTCGGGTTCGGGTTGACCCAGCAACCCGAAATTGACCCGAAAGTGACACGAAAACTCATTTTTGACCCAAAAAACATGGATTGACCCATTTTGACCCGAAAACTAGGGGTGTCAAATTTTGACACGACATGAAACACGACTCGAACCCGACCCGAAAAAATCCGGGTTCGGGTCAACCCAAACACGAAACGGGTCGGGTTCGGGTTCATGAAGTCAACCAGTTTTAAAAATCGGGTCTGGTTCGGGTTGACCCGCCAACCCGAAATTGACCCGAAAGTGACACCAAAAATCATTTTTGACCCGAAAACCCGAGATTGACCCGTTTTTTACCCGATTTTGACCCGAAAACCCGAGATTGACCCAATTTTTACCCAAAAATTAGCAATTTTGGGTCAATCCCGGGTCATTAGTGTCGGGTCGGGTTCGGGTCCAGAAACCTGACCCGTTTTTAAAAACGGGTCGGGTTCGGGTTGACCCGAACAGTGCCGGGTCAGTTTCGGGTTCGACCCGTTGACCCGAATTGACACCCCTACCGAAAACTCGAGATTGACCTGAAATTTTGACATGAAAATTAGCAATTTTGGGTCAAACCCGGGTCATTCGTGTCGGGTCGGGTACCCGAATAGTGCCGGGTCAGTTCCGAGTTCGACCCGAACCCGACCCGTTGACCCGAATTGACACCCCTACCATCACATTTATGATGTAAAATGAAGGAAAATAAAATAAAATTTATTTAAATTTAAAATATTTTTTACATTATATGAGCAACATAATATTAATTAAGAAAAAAATTTAAGTATCTACTCATCATGTTATATAATATATAGGGTCATTTAGTTGGTATTTCAGATTCATGAATTTTGATAATGCAATGCAAATTAATGTGTTATTTAGAATATTTTGAATTATTTGATTGGCTATAAAAAATACAAAAATTATTTGTTTATATTTTATTGATTATGAAGTAAATGTAAGAAATAAGATTTTCATATTGAAACTTAAGAATTTGGAGCCGAATTTAGAGTTGAATGAATGGGGTTAGAGTTTAAGCCGGAGGGGTAGAGGTAGATGGAGGCCATGCTAAAGTTTAGGGTTTAGGGTATTAAATGAATGTTGATTCTTGCTTTTAAAAAATACAAAATTTCAAAACAAAAAAAATGGAGGTCAAATGCCCACCACATTTTGTAGTTTAAGAAGAAAAATATGGGCAAAATTTATTTGAATTGAGAACATCCTCAATATTGCATGAGCATGTATATTGCTATTTAGAAAATAAAATTTACATACCTACTCATTATATTGTAGAACACATAGGAGTTGTTTAGTTGCTATTTAATATTCAAGCATTTTGAGAATGCCATGCAAATTAAATATGATGTATTTTCATTATTTTGAATAATTTGGTTAGCTGTAAAATAAATATAATAAATTATTTGTTTATATTATATTGATTGCAAAGTAAATGTAAGAAATGCTATTTCCATATTGAAACTTGTAGGGTTTAGAGCCAAAGAGAAAGGGAATGCATAAGCAAAGTTAGAGGAGGGGGAGGAGGCACCGTAATGGATTTAGAGCTAAAGAGGAAGGGGTTGGAGTCAAAGCTAGAGAGATTGGGGTAGATGGAGGCAAAGGTGAAGCAGTGTTGAGTGGCAGGAAGGTGCGCGACCAAACAAGAACTGCATTTCGGGAAGAGGGGGGTGGGGCATGCTATGATATAATCATAAGTATGCAATACTTTTCCTTAAGATGGGTAGAGGCACTAAATGTTATTGGCAATTAGATGGAGGCTACTTAATCCTACACAGCATTTGAAATTATACAAAAATCATAAGATATGTAGCTAAATATAAAAGTGAGAATCATTTATTGACACAATTGATAAAGGCTTGAATTTGTGAATGGTGTAGGGAATTTGAAAAGGAATCCAAAATTTTAATTATGAAATATTGATATGAAATTTATCACAATATATAAAAGTTAGAATCATTTATTGACACAATTGCCAAAATCTTGAATTTGTGAATGGTGTAGGGAGTCCAAAAACAAATAAAAAAATTTAAGTAGGAAAGATTCATATAAAATTTATCACATTATTTTACCCCCTCACCTCACATAATATATTATAGATGACATTGAAAACTCTTTAGGAGGGGGGAGCAAATGGGGGCTAATGGGCTATATCTACTATTTGAAAGAGTGAATAAACTCATTACAATGCAATGATGGAGATCATGTCATATGAGAATCTTTCCTATCCAATAAGACATGGGAAACTAACCTAAAATGTAAAGAGAAACCTTTCCTAAAGGATTTATAAAAACTTTTTATCTATATAAGAAAACCTTAATTAGAATTTAAGAATAAAACTTTCATAAGAAAGATTAAATGGGAAATAAAGTATTACTCATAGATTTCACTCTTATGAATTTGTGAATGGTGTAGGGAATTTGAAAACAAATCCAAAATTTTAATTATGAAATATTGATATGAAATTTATCACAATATATAAAAGTTAGAATCATTTATTGACACAATTGCCAAAATCTTGAATTTGTGAATGGTGTAGGGAGTCCAAAAACAAATAAAAAAAATTAAGTAGGAAAGATTCATATGAAATTTATCACATTATTTTACCCCCTCACCTCACATAAAATATTATAGATGACATTGAGAACTCTTTAGGAGGGGGGAGCAAATGGGGGCTAATGGGCTATATCTACTATTTGAAAGAGTGAATAAAACTCAACACACTATTTACATTAGAATATTACATTCTCGTGCCTAAGGAGATGGTGTGTAGAAATGATAATAAACTTGATAGTTTTTGAGATTCGATCATTTTGAGCACATTTTTGTACCAATGTCTAAATAGTCAAAGATAAAATATTTATGCCCAAGTCCCAAGGGCCCTTGCTAGGACCATTTGATTATCTTATCCAAGAGAACTTCAAAATTTTGAAGTAGAAGACTTATTAAAGAGAACAATTTCACCATCAATATTGATTAATAAAGAGTTTTGTGTCATAATAAAAGTGTCAAATAGTACACTGACATATAAACAAGACCAATGGGGAACATCTTGACTTTATCCTTTATCTTATTAATTATTATAATGATTTTGCAACATAATTTTGGCATGAACATCAAATATTAAACTATCATTATGCCCCTACTAAATATATATTTCTCAGAAAATTTTTTTTTGAATGATCAATTACAAGATATCTTGTGTTGGATATTATAAGAATTCCTCTAGTTTTTATTTTTCTTCTCGTGTATATCATCACTTTAATTATATAGAAAAGAAACACAATCATAAAGAAGACATAATGATGATACAAATTTAACCAATTTGATATATGAACCGCGTCTATTAATAAAAAGAAAAATAGAGCAAAAAATTGTATCAAAGTAAATATAGTTGGCTTTTCATGTGTCTATCTTCTCATGAACTATATAGATGGCATTTATTTAGTTTAAACATATATGATGACCTCTATATAAACCATGAAAACTCAATCTCTACCAAAATGAGATAAGTATACATATTTTGAGCATAAAGGAATGAGGAAGAAGGGGATTCAGGGTACGCTCTAAAGAAGCGAAAGAAAATAATCACAATCACAAAGAAGACAATGATGATAAAGATTTAAACAATTTGGTTTATGGCCTACATCCATTATTAGAAAGAAAAATAGTGCATAAGATTGTATCAAAGTGAATATAATTGGATTTGTAAATGATAGTAGAATTTATGCATGTCCTTCTTTGTGTAATATCTTGTGTTGTGTGCCTCTCCAAAAATTTCAAAAATTATATTCTCAATTATCCCTCACTCCAAAAGAATAATTAAAGATCTATTGAACAACGAAACAATTTTAAAGTTAGAAACTAATGTTCATTGAAATGATTAGCAAATATGTCATTTGTAATGTCTCCTTATTTCATTTGTTGGATTATAACATCCTTCTTCAATATATCAATAATGCATCAATGTCTTTAATGATGTTGAATGTTGACATTTTTGTATTTGTCCAAAAGGGAATATAAAGTTTGTTCATTGTCTAAGAGGCTACTAAACCCTTGAGAGGACATGTTCATGAGACCCATCCTGATAGGCAACCATATTTCTAGTGAGCTTTGATATCTTATAACATCTCATCATCAATGAAAGTGAAGTACTTTAATCAAAGATACAATAAAAATGCCACTTCTCCCCCAATTTAAATAATTTATAAATATCTTTGGATGAATTTGAAATGATCATCCATTGCTTACTAACCATCAACAATCCATAAACTTTATATTCATTGGGAAAAATTTTCCCTTGTACAAATGGAGACTTCAATCTTTTTATCTTTTGGTATACTTGAACAAATGATACATGAGAGAGAATGACAAGATGAAGGTGAAACAAATACTCCAAAATTGATCAATTACACTACTTTGATATCACTGGTTATGAATTCCAAGTTGAGTGAAGAGCTAAAACTAATGATTTAGAACTAAAGATGGAAAAAATCTTACAATAAGGGGTTATAATTTTTAACCCTTGGAGCCTAGATTAAATGTTGTTACCCTTAAAGATGAGCATGTCTTCAATGAATATGTCTCCATACATAAAGATACCCACTTCCTCAATCTAACACACTAACAAAAAAGGCGATGATACTATTGACAAACATACAGACATGAGTAAGAAGCTTCATACGTACATTACTCTCCTAGTTACTTTTATGGATGCTATCATTGGACAAGGAGATATCCAGGCCCTTAACTTGATGGTGAAAATGCTCGAGAGTGAATTAAACATTGAAGTTTTAAGATCAATTATAGTATAAGAAGATGGTTGAACTAATAATATTCAAGAAATTGAAGGATTTTGTATCATCATCCTTGGCACGTCATCAAAAATATCCTTATTATGGCCCCTCCGACCTCTATCACTCGCTAACTACAGTCCCTCCAATCTCCATTACCTGACAATGGTCCCTTCGACCACAGTCACCCAACTACGGTCCATATGACCTTCATAGCTCAACTAAGAACCCTTTAACCTCTGTCAGCTGACAATGATCTCCTCGACCTCAGTTGCTCGATTACAATTCCTCTGACCTCCCTCGCCTAACTAAGATCCCTCCGACTAATATTATCCGACGACTATGGTCCCTTTGACCACTATTGTCTGCCAACTACAGTCCCTCCGACCTCAATTGCTTGCCAACTATGGTCCCTACGAGCTCAGTAGTCCGACTAAAGTCCCTCCGACCAATGTCACCTGATTATGATCTTACCGACCAAACAAACATGCCATCATTCTCTTGATAATAACTCTCATGTCATTAGATTCTTCCAATCTCAATTACATAATTTGTTTTATACGATGTATATTTACTACATTAAGCCAACACCTTCCCCCGATGAAGGAAATCATTTGTCACAACGACAACACTAGTGGACTCATTTTAATTAGGTCAAGCCCCATGATTTTCCACTTTTAAAAGTTTTTCGCATAAAAAATTTGATCTCTTATGATTGTTGCACGTATCTCTCTTATTTGTATGTGTGTTGAATCTTCATTCAAAGCTAAGACGTTAAGCTCTTTATTTCTCTACTGTCGCGAATGTTTCGGCACGCAATAATCCTCTTTACCGCCTCTTACTCCTCTACAAACACAAACAAATGTGATAGAGAAGAGATTAAACCTTCATGATTATGAATTAATTACTTTTGCAAGAAAAAGGGCACTAAAGCTGGTCACTTTAACAAGAAATTATCCATTATTAAATAAGATTTAAGAGTGCACCAACAAGATTTTGAGCAAAAGTTTGTATTTGGACAACCATCATATCAAATTAAAGTAGTTTGAAGGAAAGCTTTGGCAAATTGAGAGTAAGAGTCGTCATAGTGGGGTATCCACACCATTACTCATCATAGATGCCTAGCTTCCAAGGCACTTCAAGATGTTAAGTTCATAACCCTTTGCCAAGAATAGTTAAGAGGATACAAAGCTAATGGTTGATAGGCACAATTTGCTCATGACATTGAGAGCTAAAGGAGTTGGATATGATAACCTTTATGATAACACCCTACTTTACTAGTCAAAATACTTGTGAAGCAAACAATATTCTATATAACAATTCCTTAACAAATCCTATAAATCATCTCAATAATTGGTTTAGAAAAAAAATTATCTCAAAATAAGTCGAGCTTATGCTAAATCATTACTATTCAACTTGAATTGTTAAATAAATGAGCCAAAATTTAACATTACTGAGAAGCTTTCAAGCCAATATATATTTCTGAGCTGCTATGAAGACAAATAAGATCTAATAAGGCTCATATTCCTGTTTTGCTCATTAAGTAAAAGATAGTCAAAACAAGTCAAAATTGAGCTAATGATCGAACATAAACAACAAGTTTTTGGACATTAGCACATTTAATCCATAAAGGTTGTGCTTACAAATCAAGCAAAGTACAGACAAATGACACAGCAAAATGTGGACAAAACATGTAAAGCTTAAAGGTATACTGACTAATCTAAATCAAGACCCAGAAGATGGCATCTGCTGCATGTAAAAGCCACGAGTTGGTCATCTAAAAACAGCCAAGTTAATTCTATGCAGGATCATTTGGATTTCAAGAAGTGAGGAGAGAGCAATTTTGCAATTTCCATCATTCCTATTTTGTCCTTTCCCTCGAATATTATCTTTAGCTTCTCATCGCAGATTATCTCCTTCTTATTTGATGGGTTCTGCATTTGCAAATTCATCAGAGTTAAATAGAAGAAGAGATTTTCAAAACATATAGATATGTAGTTAGTGTTATTCTGTTTGTGGTGAAGATCATCGAAGAATGCAATTGAATACATGGTGCTTGCCATGCAAATGTCATACAAATAAAACTTTAGATTTTTGAATAGTTTAAGTAGCTAAAATATAGTAGCAACTAGCAAACGACGACTAAATTTTGTGTAGAAATTCCAGCTAAACATACATTTCATCATAAGAATAACTAGTTTAATAACCACCACAATCCATTCGGCCAAAAAAAAAATGTTCTCGTTGCATCTCCCAGTTCTAAATAAGGTGGTTAAGATTGTCAACTCAGCACTTACAACCAGGGTTTGCAATTGGAACTTAGGTGAGAGATGAGATCGTATGTTAAAGGAAAGCCCAATAATTACATATTATAGCATGCTTCATATTATTGATAGCAGGTAGTAAGTAATCTAGAGTTCTATATCTTGTATACTCTTAAGGACAAAGAAACAGATAAAAGCCACTGAACAAGCTCAAATCCTAAACTATAAATGGAAATGATTAAGAAAAAAGTACTAATCATAAAATTATAAAACAAAGACCAGATTAAAAACTATCATGCTCAAGTGATTTGTCAGTAACTGGATAAACATCATGCTATCTAAATGTGTCGTATTCCATTGAACCAACCACAAACAGATCAGATCATTGTCAATAACATTGAAATTCTTATAAGTTAATGAATCTGGGTAATTAGGAAATCTCCTAGAATTCTCACTTGAAGTAGGAGGCAAAAATGGATAATAATTGACATCCATAAATAACTAAAAGCAAGGCAAGGAAATTAACTCCTCAAATTTGAATTTATGAAAAGACATACAACAACATCAAGCCTTTGTCCCACTGCGTGGGGTCGGCTACATGAATAATTTTTCTCATTGTGTCCTATTAAAAGTCAAATTCTCGTTTAAATCTAATAAAGAAAGATCATTTCTAATAATTAAAAATTTTCAAAACCAAGGGTTTAAAAGTTGAAAAACTTCTTTAACGTGGAGATTGCATGAGACCAAAATTAATAACACTAAATACTATACCAATCGAGACTACCTTCAATTAGGACAACATTAAAGAATCAAAATCAACATGGGGCACAACATTTGAGCTGCTTATTTATGAGTAAGCACAAGCATAACTTGTGCTTGTTGGAGTTTGAGGTTGTCCAGCAGTTCATTTACAAAAATAAGTCAATATGACTCGGGATTGTTTTGCATAAAAAGTATAACTATTTCAACGAAACCATCAAGACCTCTAGCATGAATAACTCATAAAAAATTTCACTTGATGAAACCTACAATAATGTTTTATTGTCGGGCCAATAGAATCTTAAACTAAACAAATATGTGTTAAGGCACATGAGGCTTTGGGTTAGCCACACACTAGACAATTGAAAAACATGGTGGTGTAGAAATACCAAGCCAAAACTCAGAGTCCTAAGTTTTTTGGTTGAAAATAACTTTGGTTATTGGTGTATCTAGCCCAAGTATGCCCCCCTTTTAATTCACTCCCTAACATTTGGTATCATAGTTAATAGTTTGGTTGGGATTGAGTGGTTCATGCAATTTGTGGCTTCGATGACTCATTGAAAGATTATACTATGGTTAAGAGCACGTGACTTCCATAGTGCCTCAATGTTGCTCACTAGACTCTTGATACATGATACTTGATGAGCTTATGTTTTAAAAGGAGAGACCATCGGTGTGAACTACTTTCACATGGGGGAGATTGTTAATGAATGCGAAGCTTTGAGCTTAGTCCCAGATTGAATATTTGAAATAAAAAATATGTTGGAGTAGAAATACAAAGTGGTTCGTTCTCACCCATAAGCTTAAAATTTAGGGTTGAAGATGAGTTTGACCACCAATGCCCAACTTCATAAGCTTCAAATTTAAGGTTGAAAATGAGTTTGACTCCCTGACATATGCTCAGGGCTTATTTTGGTTCCTTTCTTTCATTTTGATTGTAAAATAAATCCTCACTTATGAGGGACTTAAAGGTGGTTATACATGTGAAAATTAGTGTTGATATCTATCTACAACCAACCAAGTTACAGAACCTCAACAATTCATCATATTTCAAAACATGTTTCCTAAGCTCAAGCAAACAAATGAGCACTTTAGGGAAATTCACACATCACCCTTAAAGAAACTAAGACTTCGTTTGGGACGGCTTTCCTACTGCTTCGTAAAGCGGTTTTTTAGTACAAAATTTTTTATTTTTGTACTATAAAGCTGTTTTAAGAAGCAATAAGAAAGTCGTCCCAAACGAAGCCTAAGTGTAGTGAATCAATGTACTGCTCTTTTACCGAAAACTACGTAGCATGTCTTCAATCAGATAAAAATATATCATGGAAGCACAAGTAATTCATCCTTAAGAGTAAGAAGTTTACAAGCAAAATATAGTACAAAACAACAGATATGAGAGCCATTACTTATCAAAGTTCGCATGCATGTAATATAGTGTAACCATACACACATACTTGCTGAAAAATACAATTCTACAAAAAAAAAAAAAAAAAACATGCAAAAAGACTCCTTGACAAAACTAAAACAAATAAATATATGAAAAGATCAGTGCCTAAGTTTCCCCAAAAGTAAAATGAGCACAAGGATAAAGCTAACTGCACTTAGATGAGTCATACAAAAGGAAGCCTAATCACCGCATCATAATCAGTCCACTTCTACCTCTACCCTACAGTCCCGCACCAAAACTCAAACCATCAACAGTTGAAGGTTAATCAATGATATCAGTGAACCAAGCTCACTATTAATCAACAACAACAAAATATTGATCAAAGTACAGAATTTTCGAAAACACCAACCACAAACAACAGTGATCACGGGCAACATACCTGAAGCTGGTGGAGCTTGATGTGGTCCCAAACCTTCTTGACGGCCTCTGCACGTGAGATCTCCGGCTGACCGATGAACTTCCGCATAGCCGCCGACACTGGCACCGGCTTCAATATCCCCTTGGGCTCCGCCACCGCCCGCAAAGCCGGAGCCGCGGCGTTCGCTGTGGCCTTGGCGGCGGCGGCGAGAGGCCTGGCACCTCTGAAGACCCTGAGCATTGCTTCCAACTGCAAATTCGCCGACACCTACGTATGGGGAAGGTCGGTCGGACAGCGGAACAAGGGCTTTGCGGTTCATCCCGGTCGGACAGCGGACAAGGGTTTTAATCTTAGTAAAAGTTAAAAATTGTTGAAAAAGGAAAAAATTGTACGAAATTCAAATACCTGTGGAAATTTGAAAATTTTAAATTGTCAGAATATGTAAATGGAAAAAAAAATTATAAGAATATAAACAGTTCATCACTAAAGTTGTAAAAATTTTAAATTTATATATATATTTTTAAAAAAATTGAAAATTATTTAATAAATATATCAAAATACTTGTATATAATTTTTTCTCACATGATTCTTGATTTTAATTAGAATTTAATTATCCTCATGAAATGATAAATTTGAAGTCTATTTAATACTTTATTTAGCAATATTTTATTCTACTGAAAAATGCTAATAATTAAAAAAATTCTTTTATAAAACATAATTTCAATTTGTATTTCATAAATAGAATTTTGTGTGATGGGGTTGCAAAAATCTTAATTTGGCATTAATCATGAATTTTAAAGCAACTCATATTGCTCTATTGATTGGTTATGAGTTTTAACTACTGATCAAGAGATCATGGACATTTAGGTCAATTAAGATAAACTTAAATCCAAGATCTTTTGGTTGATAATCAAAGCTCTCAATCAACATGACAAGTTGGGTTGAGAGATTTTCTTCATATCTTAACTCGTAACCATGATGCTACATGTTTTATCTTTACTTTTCATATCATTGCTCTATTTCTTATTTTTATTTGGTTTTCATGTAAAAAAATGTGTTCTATTTAATGTCTCGTCATAAAATATTATCATATTCAATTTATTAAAAATATCAGTGTATTTTTTTTATTTTTTATTTTAATTTGTCTGATTAAGTTATATACTGAAATTTAAATAATTTTTCATAAATAACTTTGAATTAACAATATAAGTTATTTTATTAAGATTTATATTATTCTAAGATTTAGTTTTAGAAAATTGAAGGTTAATCTAAGGGGTTGTTTGGTAGTAGGTTTTAAGAAGGATTTACACAAGATTTACTAAATCTATATCCGGTGTAAATCCATATTAGCTTTTTTTTTGTCATATATCTCGGATTTACTAAATCTCGTAGTTCAATGGATTTAAGGGACTTACGAACTACAGGATTTATGAGTCACGCAGCGTACTTGTCGTGGAGGAAGATGGTTACCTTCTCATCGAGCGAGCTCACGTCGTGGCTTTCGATCCAACATCGAAAGAGGATGTGAAAAAGCTTATGTAGATACTCTTTCCGCACACTACTACATGCAAAGCATGCAAGGCCGAAGCAGCAACGAAGAAATGGCAATAAGGAAAAGTAACAACAATAAGAAATGAAGAAGATTAAAAGCAAATCTTAGATAGTCTCCATCTAAATTAGTAATTAATCTATTTTAACAATATTTTTGCCACAATTTTTAAGATTTAACATACACAGGATTTATTAAATTTGAATTTATAGAATTTATGAAGTTATGCTAAAGTTAAATCCTACATGTTGCCAAACAATCCCTTGCTGATATGGATGACAATATTGTTATATCCCAACTCGGACCTGTTCGGTTTGGAATTTCGCCTACTTCCCTATTCGCACAAGCCAGCTGCCCCGACTCCTCCTTTGCCCGAATAGTGAATGAACCGCAGCCATCACTCCCTCCAAATCGCATTTTCTTCCCATATTTGACATATTCTTCTGCCTCGTTGCCTCTCTCTCTCACCATTTAAGGTGAATTGGAATCTATGGCATCATTTTCCCCCTCTTCTCCCTCGTAACAGCCACCGATAGTCCTCCTTCTCCCAACCGCCAAACCTCTTCCGTATTTCTCCTTTTTGTTTATTCCCCACAAATAATGGTTATTGTTGGCAAAAAAAAAAGATCCCTCCACCTTCCACCTCTTCAAGCAAGGTGGAGTCTCCCTTCTTTCTCTTGGATTAAGATTGAGTCTTTCTCCTCCCTCTTCCCCTATCTATCAAAACCGAGTAGGTGATTATTGTTATCATTTTTTTTTTATTGTTTGGATGTTTTATTGGAATTGTGGTGTTAAATATTAATTAATAATTTTATTTGTGTGGGAGCCTTATGTTTCATGTATTTGAGTCATTTTCCTATTAGTTTGTATATTCAATTAGGATTCTCTTGAAGGGTTTTTGGAGTCATTGTCTTCATAGCCTTATCGATTCAATATCAGTTAGGCTTAGAGTTTTGTATTGCTCACTACTATTATCTATTTCTTTGTAAGTGTATTATTCTTAATTAGGGACATAATACGACCAATTGTAGTAGGTTCCTTTGTAATTATTTAGATTGACAATTCTATTTTAAATTCGTTAACATGATCACATGCAATAAATCTTTGCTATTTTTTATATCAAATTAGCATGTGATAATCATAACTTTACTTGATTTATTGCTCGTTAGATACATGTTTTATGTTGGAAAAATTAGATTTATGCAACTTAGCTTGGTTAAATAAACAAGTCTCATTCATGCAAACCATACTTGACAAGCATTGGTCATGATGATTATATGTATGTCGGTAGGATCCTATTGATTTTTGGTTAGTCAGGGTCGACAGGCCCCCAGAATGACGACTCTACAAGAAATTACTAAATTTCTTTGGGTTGGTGTTGCCTTCTCAATGATGGGTATATGATAAACCGATAATAACTATATATGCAAGGCAATAAAAAAGTGAATATGAATTTGAAATGAGACATGACTTATAGGTCATTGTGAGGTAATTGGATATCCAGTGTTAGGGGTGTCAATTTCGGGTCACGGTCGGACTCGGAACTGACCCGGGTTCAAACGTGTCGACCCTAACCCGACACGGGGGGCAGCGAGGCAGGGTCGCGCAGCAGCTGGGCGTGGTCGCGCGACAGCGAGGCAGGCTTGGTTCGCGGGTTAGGTTAAAACGGGTTCGCGGGTTGACTCAGCAACCCGTCGGGTCAACTCGAATCCGACCCATTTTGAAATCGGGTCGGGTCCAACCTTGATTTTTCGGGTCAGGTTCGGGTCGGGTTCTCGTGTCGTGTCAAATATTGACACCCCTATCGAGTGTAGAGCATTTGTAAACATTATAATAATTTGACATATATGCATGTATATTAGAAGATGCTGAAAATATAACATATCTTATGACAATTTTTGATATAGTGATTATAGGTTAGTAATCCATTCTTTTGATTGTTCTTAATGCATGGCTCACTTCTTTGTTGTTTATGCTTTAATAGATAATAGTTACTTACTTTATCAAACTAACATGTTGTCTTTTTCAGTAGATCCTACATGCGTGTTAGGTGGACCGCCACCTCACGAGGAATGTTAACAGTAGTAAACTATTTTTTATATTTATTATTATGTCTTAATTTATTATTTTTATGTTCTGAGAATTCGATAGTTTCTTTTTTGCTTTTAAGTTCTATTTATATTATTGTTGGCTTGTGTCAGATTTTTATTATTTGAATGTATTAGTTATTTGAACTTCTATTAATGGATTGACTTTATTATATCTCTTGTATATATATATATATATATATCAGGTTACTCTTTTAAACCAAGGATGTGACAAATATTCTAAACTACATATATCATGATGATGATCAAAGAAACTCTCAGAGTATTAGTTGATTTTATTCGTAAATATTCTTATTTCTAATGCTGTAAAGCAGGTTTATTGCGTTTTCTTATACTCAAAGATCAAAGAACTTAAAGTTTATAGAAGTAACCCTATGAGGCCCAAAAGTGGACAAGGCGACTTCGGTCGAGGGGTAGAGAGATGCCCTGCTTGGTGCCCAATCCCAGATGGAAGATTCTTTTGTCGTCCATTCACCGTAATCTTCTGCCATTCTTCTCCACTCCAACTCTTCAGAAAAATTGATCTCTTGAACTCTTATTGATTGTTTCCTCCCTTTCAAATTTATTTTATTGGGGAAAAAGACTCCTTTCTTGTATTTTCAAACAACGGACAAATCTAAATGCTTTTTTAAGCCTCGTTTCAACTAACATAGCCCCCGTGGTGGATTTTAAATGTTTCAATCTGCAAAAAATATGGGAAAGTTAAATACCTGTGAACAGTTTATTTACCAATTACCATTTCTGTGATTGATCAGCTCCCAGCGGATTTGCGGTATCTCATCCTTCATTGCAGTACTTGGAAATATATGTTGCATCTCATCCTTCATTGTATACATTACTTAGTGCTAGGAAATATCTATTGCTACATTGCTGCTAAATATGCTTACAAGCATTTTCACAAACGTATTGGTTTCTGTGTTGATTCCATCAGTTTTACATGTTTTCGATTGTTTCTAGATATGGAGGCAATTTTGTTTGTTTCTCTTGACCTTGGCCTTATATGACTAATGACCAGAGGAGATAAGAGATGAAATAATTCTTATATGTATGATGAATTTAAACCTAATATTGTCAAAGATTCGTAAATTCTTATCGGTGCATTATAAATCTTAAGAATAAATAATATTAGTGCCACTATTTCTTTTAATTTTTTTTCCCTTAATAGAGTTTACAAATGAATGTAGCTCTTTGCAATGTGTGTTTGTGTCATAGCCCGTCCATTGGGCCTAAAATATTTAAGCAACAATTTGGTAGATTAAGGTGGTTTGATTAATTTAAAGATAATCTAATCAATACAAACTTGCACAAAATGACATTTATTCAGTACTGTAAATGACCAAAACATATATAAATCCATGATATCAAAGTAATTTATCCTTTTATAGCTAAATTAAAATCTAACTCTTACAATAATTCATTTGAAAATGTTAATAAATTTCTATTTAAATAAATGAATATCTTATAGTCTTAATCACCTTCAATTGATACATGAAGCATGAGCTTTGAAATTCTTTATTAAATGATGCACATATAATAACCTGAAAAATCATAAAAATAATAGATGTGAGTTTGCAAGAAATAAGCTTAATGGGTGAAACCTACTAAGGTAAAAATGACTAGGCATAAGGCATGTAATATGAACAACAAAAGCGACACAAGCAACAATAC